GGAGGAGGAGGAGGAGGAGGAGGAGGAGGAGGAGGAGGAGGACGAGGGGTCAGCTGGTACTGCTGCTTCTGCGGGTGGTGATGGCGGCGGCGGTGGTGGTGCAGGTGGCGGAATGATTGGTGGCGACATTGGTGCGCATGCCTTTGCGGGGCCCATAGCAGGATGGGGAGGGGGCGCAAAATGGACCCTCGAGAGCATGAAAGGAGGAGGAGATGCCGGAGGAGGGGGAGGAAGACAGACAGGTGCCATGGCGAACGTTTCGCCTGTTCAAGGGACGAAGCGCCGGGCTTCGGTGATGGACCAGACCGAAGGCTTTGGAGATGTGAGCGCGAAGAGAGCACATTCGAGTCCCCATTTTTAGTACGGACACATTTATGAGGGTATTGGTACGGTAGGCCAGCACTGTTGCGCGTACGACGATACATTTGGCGTTTAGGATGACATTGAGGCCTCAATGGAAGCTTAAGCCATGCGCGGGCGTGTTAATGGTACTGTCATCCGACTTGCAACCCTAGCACAAGGCGATCTATGTGCTGGCTCTGGATACCTGCCCCAACATTCCAGCTATGAGAGGACTCCATGTACAAGGGGCTTTCTCCAGGTTTCTCAGGCATCGTCGACGAGAAGACCAAGAATCGCCACCCGACATCTACCCCCCGGTCCGCCGTGTGCGACCCGCGCACATTATACTTTCTGTCTAGCAGCGTTGCCGGCGAATAGACAGGGCTCCAAGACCTTGTTTTGTGTATTCGCTTCGTGCCTTCCAGGCTCGTTGCGCACCGTCGCGATATTGTGGGGATACAACCGGTTGGTGAAACTAAACTAGGCGTGACATTTTTTTCGTCCCTCTGCCGCGCTATCCCGACCCAAAACACGTCGCTTCTTGTTCGGATAGGAGGGCGAGGTCCAAGAAGATCAACACGAGAGAGGAAACGCCAGCAGCAAGCGCCCACGCCTGGGAGCGTCGTGGTAACGCGCAGAAAAGGTGTTGTTGTACGACATCGGTGTTGCGGGAAATAAGTGGGAGGCCATGGGCGTTGGATACTGAACCGAGATAAAAAGCTGTCCTTTTGTGAACAGCAGCCACGAGGGACAAAAGTGGATTGTACCCTTCTCTGCCGTAAGGATACACGGTCTGTTTCGAGACTCGACCTTTCTCTGCTGCGTTTCGTGGACGCACGAAGGGGAATAGGGTTAGGACAGTGCAAACGAACAATTTTATCCCCCCCGTAGCCATGCATGCAGATATGTGCGTTTTGTTGTGTATATCAGGAACACCTACTGGCGTTGGACTTGTGCGCGTGCTGAACCGGAAGGAAGGGAGGGTTCGACGTCAAACGTGGCGTTATTCTCCTACGTAGGGGAAACCACGGTATGCCCGTCTCGTGAGGACAGGAATCACTATGTCTCTTGTTTGTACCAAGAAGAGGTGAAGTCCCTTTCCTGTGGGGAAACGCTGTTAATTTGGAGTTGTGGTTGCCAGCAGTTTGATGTCGTGAGTGTGTCGGGGTACGGGGACGTGTGTGGGAGACATTTCAAGGGAAAAGGGTAAATAGCAGGACGCATTAGGTGTATTATCGAGTTCAAGTGAAGGGAGTAGGTGGGATGACCACAACGTTGTTGGTACTATAGCGTGAATACCCCAGAGGACGTGTGTAGAGAGATATGCATGAGAGATGTGGGTGGGATAAAAAAGCCTCAAGAATGCGTACTGTGCGAAATCTACATATAAAGGCGCATGCAAACGGGCCCCTAAAAGAGGCTTCGGTTGCTTGTGACAATGATTCTTGTACTACCAGAGGTCGTCACGCGACGGGCACCGTTAAATTGTGCAGGCTAAACATCTCCATAATGACAACTGGAGTGGCATTAGAGAGTTATCGTTTTGCGGTCCTCGCGGGCAGTTTTCAACTCCCTCATGGCCATACAGGAAATCCGACCTAGGGTCACGAACAACATCTTCCATGGCGTTCGCCTTCCGTGTCAACCTAAGACAAGACGGCTGAACACTGCCGTTTTTCAAGGATGCTCACGGAAAGTAAGGTCGCAAATAACAAATTGACTGGCATATCGCAGATCGCCATGATGAGACGACAACGTGAATTCGACAACAACTCTACATACGCCCATGAATATGTAGCAGAAAATAACCAACGAAGCCGAGAGGATAATCCTCTATCCCAATTTCTGTCCACCTCAACTTTGGGTGACTTGGAACCTCCCATAAGCTGCCGTGCAACTTAGCACCCCATTCACTTAACCCACAGGCGTACCACGTTTATCGCCTGAGAAAGGCTTTCATCCCTGCCACGGGTCCTCCCCTATTTTAACTAACCCCATCAAAGGTGGTAATCTGTTGAAATAGGAAATACGCAAACAGAGCTCCGGCGTAAGGGACATAACAGCTACAAATCTGACACTCCGTACAGAGTGTTCTGGAACTCTCCCATCCCCTGCCCCTTGTGCGCTGAGATACAGTGCACGATTGGCAATGTCGCTGGATGATGAACCGCAAGCTGGAAGGCTCCCTCTAGGGACTGTACAAGTTGGGCCGGCGAAGCCTTGTCGACCTTCGTCAAAACCACCATGTTCTCCACGTCTCTGCTGGACAAAAACGACAGCATCTGCTCGTCGTCGGGCTGAAGGCCATGCCGCCCGTCCACCAGCACGAACGTTCTTCGCAGCACGGAGCTCGAGCGCCCCTCAAGGTAGCTCCCCACCGCCTGGTTCCAACCGCGCACGGCCCTCTTGCTCTCTCTCGCGAACCCGTAGCCGGGAAGGTCGACGAGGAAAGCCTGGGGGCTTTCGGCACCGCCTTCTCGCAGCGCGAAGTAGTTCACCGTCTTGGTGCATCCGGGCGCTTTCGACGCGCGGACGAGCTTGGGGTTTCCTAAAAGCTTCCCGACGAGGGTGCTCTTCCCCTGGTTGGATCGGCCGATGAAGGCGACTTCCGGCGTGCCAGCCGTGGGCAGCTCGTGGTTGAAGGATGCAGGCGACACGTACTCTCCCCGCAAGGACAACCCTCTCTTGCGCGGCGGTGGATGGATAGCGCTGGCCGGGTCCACCCCTGTCGCCACCCATACCCACGGAGATGACGTCGCGACGCTGAGTTGTCCTCGCAGGCGGCGAAATGCAGCGGAAGAACGCATGCAGCGGGCTCTGCTTTGATCGGGGCCTGGGCGGAGCACGGGGCGCGAGAATGCCCAAAAAGTGTAGTGAACGAAAACTTCCGTATGTCAAATACCATCCGCAGAGTGAGAGAAAACGAGCATCGGGGGTGGGAGCGAGGAGAGGCAAGGGAGTGGCCACCATCAGACGGTCAGCGTGAAACCTGCACACGGAACAACAGTAGGTTCAGGTCATGACGCCCATGACGCTACAAGATGACTGGTCCCCTCTCCCCGCGCCCCTGTTGGGCATGTTCCAAGCGGAAGTTCATGATAATTGTGCTGTCGACCTCAACTTGCGCGCGAAAATGAGCGATTACACGCACAGCGGTTGTTGTTCGGTGAGCGTCAGCAGAGGGGGTCCTCGAGGTTAACAATCAGAGTAATGGTAGTTTATGAACATATCTACAGAGCAGCCGCTGTCATCATGTCACAAAATTTGAGTGTTGCGGGCAGCACCTCCGATGTGAACCCCGTCAGACATAAACGCTGTGCATGCCAGAATCAACCAACCTGACAGCAGGCAGCTGTTGGTGGTTGTGGCTCGAGGGCGCAGATGAGGACCTTGTGACCCTTTATTTGCTGGATGGTCCCTCTCTCGTCGGCGTATCGGTCGTGTGGTCTGCAATTCAAATCTTGAATCAGAGCTGTAGCATACAAACACAGTCTAGAGATGATACAAACATAGTCTAGAGATGACTTCACTCAAGCATGGTGCTTCTGGTTGCAGTTCCCGCGGCTGCCATGGCGAAGTTGGGTGTAAGCGGCTTTCTCTGGGCGTGCGGAAGGGTGTATACAGCGCGGGCGAGCCAGCACAAAATGCTTACATCTACTGGACGAGTGAGGCCTGCGGACACACATTCCTGTATGCCTACTACTGCTGTAGAGATGACGCACAGCAACGCTTGATTCCACATTATTGCCTACCTGGTGACGACTGCTGCAGCCCTCCAGGCGAGCTCTCTTTGAAGCGCTGCCTGATTTTCTAATTCGCCGGTGAGCACCCGGTCCGCTGGGGCCTATGGTCCATGACCTTAAAAAAAAAGTGTAGACATATATACGTCATAAGCTTCTTGCAATAGCGCCGCATTTTCGGCAAATCGCCTGTGGGGGGGGGGGGCTTCCGCTTTTTTCGGCACTCTAAAACCAAGACGAATTGGGGAGGGCTTTTCAAAACTTGAAGCCGCAGGCTTGGCAGCTGCGGAGGCCGTGACACCACTC